GTCCTTATGATGAATTCCAGTCGGTGAATAAATGAATGAATAAATGAACGAGTGGATGAATAAAAGAAAGACCTTTAGTGTATGCTTATTCTATTACAAGCTAAGTATAGGTCCTGGAGCTAAAGCAGTGGTAAAAAATCATAGTGATATCTTACTATAACTGTATACGTTACGCCTGGTTATGCAAAACAAACAAGCCTGAATCTTCGTCTCTCAGGTGATGTATAAATGATCCAATAGATGCCAACAACAACAACTATCTCCTTATCCTGATGACCGCCTTATCATCTCCGTCCATCCAAACCGTTTCCCCGCTCGCCTGACGGCCCTTTTGACCAGGCGTCGTTATGATTGATGCCGACCCATCAATATCTGCCGGACTCAATACCCGGCTACAAGTCCGGCGGCTTAGCCGGGAGGGCCGCCTGCCTCCATCCGCAGGAGGATAGGGCCACACCAAGTCATTTTTATGGATGACGTCCTCTGGAGATACTAAATCTAATGCGAGAGAAACAAGAAGGGGGAAAAAAGCAAGACGCCTACATTAAAAAAATTATAAGGGAAGATAAATGTCATTTTTGTGGCTGACGTCCTCTGGAGATCCTAAATCTAATGCGAGAGCGCAAAAACAAACAACAAGACAGACAAAAATAAGATGCCTAGATTTGCAATATACTAAGAGACGACAAATGTTGGGACACACTTGGTGTGGCCTAAGCCTTTACTTAGCCGGGATGGCCGCCTGCCTCCATCCGCAGGAGATTAATGCTTCCGATCTGGCCACACCAAGGAATTTTTATGGATGACCTCCTCTGGAGACTTTAAATCTAATGCGAGAGCGCGAAAAAAAAACTAGAAGAGCCGAAAATAAGTAAGATGCCTAGATTTGAAACATACTACGGGAAGACAAATGGTAGGACACAAATCGAATGAGAGAACATAGTGTAACAACCAAAAGTCTTTGTATTCGTCATGACAGCCAGTGGAACAGCAGTTGTCGTCCTGCCCTGTTTCTTTCCTTTCACCACGTCTTCCAATACTGCCATTTACAGCACTGTCATGACTCTGTCATGAAGTTTTTTTTTTCTGGGAACAGGCTAGAATAAATTGTTTGTTTATTGTTTATTTCAGTTTGCAAATAAAAATAAAAACAGTATGTAATGACTTTGTACAACCAAATGTGCGGGAGAACCCAAAAAACCTAAGGGTTTAACGAGTGGGTTCTCCTAAAATCCAATTGTTTTATGACCTCTTTTTATACACGTGTATAATAAATAAGTGATAACGAAACAAACAAAATTAAATCTAAATAGATAAAAATATAAATGCGCGAGAACGTCATCCATAAAAAATCACTTGGTGTGGCCTAAGCCTTTCTTTAGCCGGAATGGCCTCTGCCTCTGTCCGCAGGAGGTTAACTGGGACCGATCGTGTTTTTCGCTCACATAAACACCTCAACAGACACCATACAGTCCCCAACCTGGGCCTTCGTCGACGACTTAAACATCATCGAATCCCAAACATCAAAACTACAGAAAGACCTCGACGAGCTAGCTTCGTGATCAGACAAGAACAGTATGCAGCTTAACCCCGGGAAATGTAAGGCTATGCATATCTGTTTCAGCCGGACATTTTTATGTTGTAGAGATCGCAATTCAATTTTATGCATACATTCCTAGCTAGATGATATTTTAAAGTTGTTAAAAGGTGGGCACTGATGTAAAGAAACATGCAATTCAGCCTCCGGGCAGCAAAATGTTTTAATCAATAAACCAGTCATCATCATAATGTTTCCGATAATACGTGGTCAGGTCCGGTAGACTGGGGTGGGCAGCTGTGTGGGGTGCTGGAATCTGTCCCTACTGTACGGGGAACCGCACCTGAACCGGCTCAGTCCAGCTGATACCGGCAGTAACGTCTGGCCAGGGGCTTGATGATGGTGATCGACACTTAATAATGTTATCTAACTTCCCAAAACCCACTAATTTTGGAAAAGGTGGGGCATTGCGTCTTCCATGGTCTAAAAAAGAGAAGTCAAACCCCTTAGACCTTTTATCATGTAGATTTCAGTTATTTTATACTACGTTTCATTGTTCGTTTCTGTTTGTAATCTGCAATTAGCCCCCCGGGCATGAATTTGCAACAAACCTCAAATTATCTTAACCTTTGCTCTGTGTCATCATCTTCTCCAAACACATAAAGTCAATGACCTGTACCAGTCGGCTGTCAGCTGGTGCTGTAGCAGACACCTTGTGGTGTTGGACTACATTATGCAGCAAGTTGCAGAACAAAGTTAGAGGGGCTGGTCGCCTAATATGTGTATATGGATGCATTTAAGTAAGAGTATAGGAAACAGAGCAGTAGTCTGTTAGGCTCAACCATGCGAAGTTTAACATTATACATTTGCTTGTCTTGTTAAACATAACGTTTTCTGAAGAGGATGCTGCTACATGTACCAGCAGTAACGCCTGACCAGGGGGTTGTCGATGTACTGTCTATATCTACAGAAATGCCTGCTCATGTCACATTAGCAACGTAGATATAGGGCCAGTGGAAATACACACTCTAGTGTCTGGCCAGGGGGTTGCTGGTGGTCTTTCTATGTGTCTATCTACAGAACCACCGGTTCATGAAATAACGTGTAAGAACAGTGTGCAACGAATGCAGTGGAAAGCAATTTTATCTGCTAATGTCCCAAACGAGTTAGGGTTAGTCTTAGTCACGGCTCTGGATAGTCTCCGTGTATCCAAGACTTAGCCCCCGACGTACGACACGGTTCTGGATTAACTGTGCCTGAGAAAAGGTCCGGATAAAGCACGGTTCTAGATACAGCAGTGCCTGATCCTGACCCTCACATCACCCATGCATCCAGGCACAGGACTAGATAGGCACTGTTCTGGGTACAATACGCAGCTTTTGATTGGTCAAACTGGTCAAATTGGTCCAACCGAGGCTTGTTAGTAAGCTAGAATACAATGTTTACGGTTCTAATATTTTAATGACAAAGACTATGATTTTATGAATAAAAAGTATAAAGGTGTGGACAGAATGTATCTCAGAACAGTCAGCCCCAAGACGCCCCTACTCTCTGCAACTTATCACCAGGGATAGCATTTTGCTCTTTCGATCGGAGGAAGGAATTCGCATTTATCATACAAACAACAAATTACCTGCATTACTGCCGAAAGAACCGTCCATCTAATACATTCTGATTTCTGTAAGAAAAACTTATTTTTCGGCTACCCATGTGGTTACGCTTTGCCGCAAACTAGTCCCGATATCTGTCAAGATTTACCACAGCATTCTGTCCTCGGGCGAAGATGCTATTTCGATACATCGAATGCCAGGTTAACAAATGATGAGCTTATTTCCTCGCCTCAAGGCTCGAGCGCCCATGAAGCTGGCATTCGATTGAATTCCGCGGCATTTATCCATGAGCTTGTCTGCTGAAACTGTCTATTCTGGTACCGTTTATAGTAGCGTGCGTAAGTCCAGTGGTTAGCGACTCTGCCTCTTAGTCTTTTGCAGGCAGAATAAATAGTAGAAATCGGCCTAAAAAGGGGGATTTAATTGGCCAGAGGAGTTGGTCTGAGAGAAGGTCCATACAGGCAAATGGACCCTCTCTGGTCGGCCAACTCCTTTGGCCAATTAAATCCCCTTTTAGGCTCTAGAGACAACCTGCCTCTGGACCAAGAAGTTGGGAGTGGTCGGCTGTTGTCGCTCACTCGACACTCGACATCCCGGCTGTTGTCGTTCACTCGACATGCACGCTAGTGGAAAGCTGTGGTCCACTGTTCATTGTGCTTGTCAAAAAGAACGAGGGCAATTTCCTCGGTACAATAAACCTGTAAATACTGTACATAGCGTCTGTCTTCTTTGTCGCGACAAGTGGAAGATTAGCTACCTGTTCAGTGAGCTAAAATTTTGTACATAGCGTCTGTCTTCTTGGTTAAGACCAGTGAAAGATTAGCTCTTCACTGAGCTAAAACTGGATCGAGATTAGTCTGGTGTCCAGCCTTGTTAGCTTAAGTCCGCTCCCCAAGATCCGCTCCCCGCCAACAATCTTTGGGAGCGAACTAACCAGGCTGGACCTCAGGCTAGATCGAGATCACTTTCCTTTCCTTCCACACAGCGCGGACATTAGTCGGAAAGCTCTGGAATCTGCTGCTGGGTCAGCACGAGTCGATCCGATGACCTTTGCAGAGGGAATTCCTAAATTCCCGCCAGTTTTGCAATCCTCAGTCCAATCCCGCTGAAACTGCGCTGGCTGCGAGTTGAGTAGGCCTATCACGGATCTCAGCCTCGCGGAGTGGGCTCGCCGTACGGTTGGAATCTAAATTGATGTGAAAACCGCTGCCTCCGTCTTTCCGAGGGCTTTACCCCGCACGTTACGCCGGACCCACCTGAGCTGGGAGAGTGGATAGCGTCGCTCCGGGGAGCTTTGCGAGCAATTTCGGTATCTATTTCAGGCATTATCCAGCTCGCGTGCACTTAAAAACGGCGATTCGTACAAGTGGCTGGTTTTAACTCTTAGTGTGAAGATCTGGTAAGCCCCTGGCAGCATGAGAGTCTGCTCCGTACTTATGGAACAAATTCTCACTGATGGTATGCATCAGTCCGATATTAGCCGAGGGGAACAATTTTTCTCATGGTATCTTTGTAATAACAGATTTGTCTTTCTTTGAAATTGAACATTTCGCCGTTTGCATACGTACATCCTTGAACTTGAACATTTGCTACTTACTCATCTCTGAACCTGAACATTTCAAACTTCAGGCAAGCCATGTTCAGATTATATTTACCAAATTGTACATCAGTACAATACAAGCCTGATTCACCCACTCTCTCACACTCACTCACTCACTCACTCACTCACTCACTCACTCACTCACTCACTCACTCACTCACTCACTCACTCACTCACTCACTCACTCACTCACTCACTCACTCACTCACTCACTCAAAGGTTCGTACAACAAAAAACATTGGAAGAGACCAACCTTCATACTCGATGGTGAATCCCGAGTGAATATCGTTGCCGGTGGTTCGCCGGTAAAACTTGAGACAGGCGACGTGGTTGGGCACGTACACCACGTCTGTCGGCTCTGACGTCCCCACGTAACTCCGTAACCTCCGCCGGTCACTGCACGTCCCGTCTCCGAACACCTATAGTGATTTATGAAAGTTTTGCAGTTACAAACAACATAGTACTAAGTACTAAGTAAGTAAGTAAGTTGCTAGAGGAGTAAAGGAGACGGTGTACATTCGGACCAACCGTCCAACACTGAACAGAGACGGGGGCGACACAGTTTATCTGACCCTTTGCTGAAATCACGTGTTTCCGACGTCAAGTCCCGGAAGCTGCAGTAGACGGATCCATTCCGTGAACAAGGCTGACGGAGTTAGCCTAAAATTTGGTCCCAATTTACTTACTGTAGGTCAGAACGTTTAGCCTTTATGTAATAATGGATCGAGATCCCTTTCTTTCCTTACCTGCACCTCGTCCCTGACCGTGGAGTTCCGCGTCACCTCGGAGTTCAGGTCCCACCCATACACCGTGACCTTGACCCCGTGACCCTGCTGCAGACTGATGACCCAGGTGCAGACCCGGTCGTCTGCGGACATGGGGGTGGGGTAGGGCCTGGGATAGGCCGGGGAGCGCACCCAGCCACGGTACGCCGTCAGGGTCCTGCCGCACGCTGGAGAACAGCGTTAACAGTAATTATCGTTAACAGGGAGACATGGGGGTGGGGTAGGGCCTGGGGTAGGCCGGGGACCGGACCCACCCACGGTACGCCGTCAGGGTCCTGCCGCAAGCTGGAAATCAACAGTAATTCTCGTTAACGGGGAGAGATATCTCAAAGGTCAACGTTAACAGCAATTATCGTTAACGGGGAGAGATACCTCAAAGGTCAACGTTAACAGCAATTATCGTTAACGGGGAGAGATATCTCAAAGGTTAACGTTAACAGCAATTATCGTTAACGGGAAGAGATATCTCAAAGCTATAGAACGGAATGGTCTGTGGACATGGGGGTGGGGTAGGGCCTGGGGTAGGCCGGGGACTGAACCCACCCACGGTACGCCGTCAGGGTCCTGCCGCACGTACGCTGGAGAACAACGTTAACAGTAATTATCGTTAACGGGGAGAGATATCTGAAAACTATAGAGCGGAATCGTCTGCGGACATGGGTGGGGGGTGGGGTAGGGTCTTGGGTTAAAGCCGGGGGGCACGCCGTCAGGGATCTACCACACGCTAGAGAACAAGAGCAATCGTTCACTATACCTACATGTAACCAGCTATGTTTTGTGGTCAGGCTTTGGCATCAAACAAATCTCACTTGTATTTTTGCGTTACATTGACAAGTAGCCTAAAGTGGGCTGATCATGTTAGCGGAAAATTCGGTCGGAAATTCCTTTTTAAATTCATTTTGAGTTTGAGACCAAAACTGTCTGACTAATGGCACAGTTCTGGATTCAAGAAAAGCTCATACCTCATACATCAGAAATCGTAGAAAACACACCACATCGTACGATACTTACATTTGCTGGGCTCTGATCTTGTACACCGGGCCACACTGTCAGCTGGGGGAGACGAAGAATGAGATATTGTTAATATGATAAGAGCTAGAACTCTCTCTCTCTCTCACTTACTCAGTGTGTGTGTGAGAGAGAGAGAGTGTGTGTGTGCGTGTGTGTGTGTGTGTGTGTGTGTGTGTGTGTGTGTGTGTGTGTGTGTGTATGTGTGTGTGTGTGTGTGTGTGTGTGTGTGCGTGTGCGTGCGTGCATGTGTGTTTGTGTGTGTTTGTGTCCATGTCCCCATGATATGACATAAGTTTTAAACTCTAAAAGCTTCATGGAAGATGTGGGGCCCATTTGAATTGATACGGTATCCAGGTCCATATTTGCCCCACGTGTGGACTATCCAGAACCGTGCTTGAGCATGGCTCTGGATAAAGAACAGTTCTGCGTCCGAAATTCAGGCACAGAACTACTAAAATAGACCGGTTCTGGATACAACAGAGAACACCACCGACTGCAGCTGACGAAACGCCTGACAGTGACGTCAGACGGTGACGTCACGGTGTCCTGGGTAAGTCCAGGATGTGCCAGTTGGGGGGATTATTGGCTCTCATTGGATAAATAGGCGGGAGGTCAGAGGTCGTCCCTACATGAGCGGGGATGTTGGGATTCTATTTTCCGCTTCAGACACTCCGTAATCACAGCTGTGTAGCGCGTATGGAGGTTAGAATTCTGTTTGTTACAATCTGAACCGTTTGACGAACTTTTTTTCTTCAGACTAAGGCCACACCGACTTAATTTTATGGATGACATCCACGCGCGCATTGATTTTCGCCTGTTCTAACAAAAAAAAGATCACGTCCTCCGAGGCTCTCGCCTGGCTCTAGGCGTTGGTAGTCCATGATAGTTAGTGACAATACAGAGTCAGTGGTAACTCTGAAGGATGGCACCCAGGCTACAGAAGTTCCAAGACTCAAGAACTCAGTACATACGTACAGTGCCGATTCATAGATTCCGCAAAAAGCCAGCATGTGCCGGCTTGTCGTATGTATACTGCCGCAAATTCACAATACCAGCTTTATATTCCTATTCATATTCAAAAGAATGTATAAATTGTTGTGTGTCTAGTATTTTTGTGTATCTATATGTATTGTGTATTTATGTGTATATATGTCTGTACTATTTTTGCAATGGCCCTGAATAAAGACAATCAATTCAATAAGCAAAAAAAAGAAAGTATTATATTAATGTTCTCAGTTGTCAGATGATGGATCCTTGGTAAGACCCAGGCTCTGTACATGTAATAATGTGTGTACGTCACACTCCGTATGTCTTAATTAGGCTCGGTGTGATGTCACGATGGATGGTAGTAGTGTACGTACTGTATCCAAAACCGTGTGACACTGTCTATGTGGTTCTATGACTGAATGGGTTAGAGTTAAGATCAGGCACGGTTCTGGGTAGTCTCCGTGTATCTAAGAACGTAGATTTGCCCCAGTCACGGTTCTGGATACATGGAGACTATCCAAAACTGAGTCTGAGCAAAGTTCTGTATAAAGTACGGTTCTGGATTGTCTCCGCCTATCCAAGAATGCAAGAACGTAAATTCGCCCCAGGCACGGTTCTGGATACGAGTGGACAACCCAGAACCGTGTCCGAGCATGGCTCTGGATAAAGCACGGTTCCGGACACAACGTGTGGATTATCCAGAACTATGTCTGATCATGGCTCTGAATGCTGTATAAAAAACATATACAAGATGGATATAAGAATGTGCATGACTTGTTCAGTTTACCGAGAGTTGAGCTCAGTAGCAGGTAGCAGATGAGAAGTTTGGCCGCCATTGCAGCTTCAGGATCGTCTCAGACTAGATCTGGAAAAAACAAGAAGTTTTATTAAAATTCAGGTCAAACATTTTCGTAAAGATTAATGGGATGAATATGAATGAACATCGTACAGGGCCTAGGGTGCAATATGTGTTACAGAAACAACAATACTACAATATCGATCTATTCTACATTTAGGATCACTACAAAACATCATTGATGGCAATTTAAGAGAGTAAAGCGACGGTCACAACTCGCCGTACGTGCTTCTGCGTGCTGTCTACGTGCAAAAACGTGGGCAAACGTACGGCATCCGTGCGTGGTGAGTACCGCCACCGTACGGAATCCTACGGATTTGGGAGCACGCAGACACGCCGTAGAACTTTAAGTGTAATACTTTTTCTACGTGCGGTCTGCGGATTTACCACTCGTGCGTGCGAGTACGTGCGACGCGCGTGCCCCGTACAGCCTATGAGCGTGCAACGAACGGACTCCGTGAGTCTAACTTCACTATTCTCACGTGCAATTGCTGTACGGACAGCGCACGAAGCACGTGAGTGCCACGCACGGTGCTTGCGTCATCCGTGCTTACTCCTCACTTCCCAGTTGACCTGCTCAATGACCACGCAGAACACACGTGCACCATACTAGGTGCTCCGCACGTGCAACGCACGTGCAACGCACCTGATTTCTACAGTATATAAAGACGACTTGACGGGCGACTGCCAACTCGTCTCCAAGATGCCCAGGAAGGCTCAAAAGAAGTCTACCAGACAAGATCCAAAGAAACGGGCCGCGGAAGACACCAGGGCGGCTAGTGATGATGAAGTTAACAGGAGGTGCACGCACTTACAACGTGCGAGTGAGTAAGGAAATCGTGCGCACGCCGCACGTGTAGGTACGGCCTGTACGCGGCAACGTGGCAATCACACAGAGATCGTACGTTGTAAGCACGTACAACTCACTTACCACTTGCGCAACGTACGGTGCACGCAACCGCTATCGGCCAGGCGTGTCGTGCAGACCACGTAAGTACATCTTGCGAGTGACGTACTCCCTCGGCCGGCCACCCTACGTTTGCAGAAAAAACGTAGCAGACGTAGCCACGACAAAAACGTACGGACAAAAAGCACGCACGGCGAGTTGTGACCGAGGCTTAACAGGTATCTATTGATTGTATTTGACTGTTTGGAATGTTTCTCATAATTACTAATCTGGTCCAAGCAAACAAGTTAAAATGGACGCGTACGTATATTGGCTGTGCCATAATCTTTAGTGATGACACAAAGTGGGCAATTATATATGGTAGTAGAGTGGCGTTCCTTTGCAAATCGGGACATTGCGTTCGCTCACATTGCCGTATCGACTCTTTCTAATTGGACAGCAATTCGCAGCAATACGCGCTGACGTAAATGGTCAGAATCAGCACTGACTAGAAGAATAACTTTTCTACATGACCATGTATTGTCTCTGTGGGATGGGTTGGTGGTGATTCTTTTTTTAGTGTATTTTAGAAATGTTTGACTTTACATTTGGTTTCACATTTCTACCCATATATATGCCAAGTGGTGGCGTTAAAAGTTCTCAAACTTAAGGGTATCTGTTTTTTTTCATGACAATCTTTATTGACACAACAAAAGAAATGTGACTTCCGTAGGGTCTACTACATCTATACATACAAGCAAGTGGATATAGATAGATTAACGTACGTGCGAGTATACTGATAAAAAAACATATGTTGAGTTTGACGTATCACTTTTACTATTAGTCTGAAATTCTTTGATATATTTACCTGTTTGTGCACAGTAAGGGGTAATATCTTTCTCTAGAATGTAAGTTAAGCTATCTGTTGAATGAAGTGTATAAAATTCTGGCGAGCAAGCGGAAAGAAAGTTCATGTTTAAAAGAGATTAAAAGAACTTCTTCTAAGATTTATCAAGGATGGTCATCAGTTGACAAAGTACGTATTGTATAGACAACCCTGTTGCTGGTCAGGTTACGGTAAGATATATGTTCACTCATTGCTGTCACTCTAATCTTCATTTTTGGCAAAAAGAGATTAAAAAAACTTTTCTATAATTTTTCACGGATGATGATCAGTCCATATTGCATAGACAACCCTGTCACTGGTCAGATTACTGTGAGATATATGTTCACTCATGCCGTGACTGTAATCAACACTAGATTCTGATCCCATTATACCAGACGACCTGAATGTGATGAGTTAATCCTGTTACCTGTCCCCTCAACCTCACACATATTTCAAACACGAGTAGTGGAATGTTCCAAACACTAACGTTACTGTCAGGAAGTTGGTGATCCATTACACGGCCTGGCAAACCCCCGTCTCGTATTCATTTTATCTCCAATTGCTTTAAAAAGAGAGAAGAGATCCTTAAGACCTAGATTAGTTTATTCTCTAGTAGTTGTTAAGACTTTTACGTTATTCTGTTATCCTTGTATCTTATGTATCATGTTACTCAGTATGATGTACAATAATAAATAATAAATAAAATAACATGTAACATCACACTCTGATATATGCATTTAGCCCCATGGGCTTGAACATGCAAATAAAGATTCATTATTATCATAATACTTGTGAACTCAAGGAAGAATGGTGCAAAATCTATGTAACGCTAATGGAGATTCTAATAAAAGAAACAAACAACCAAACAAGCGCAACAGACTCTAGCGAAACAGTTTCTAGTCAGGTTATGATAAAATATATGTTCACTCATGACTCTGATCAACACTTGAATCTGAACTTATTATATCAGACGACCTGCCCGTCATCATTTAATCTCGTTACGGGTCCCCTCAACCCCCACACACTGACTCTACCCGCTCTCTGCCAAACTTGCCATTCCCGGAGGAACCGGTGGCAATGAACTCTAAATCGAATCAATCTCTATGAAACAGCGCCGCGCGGTGACAGATTCATCCTTAGCATTCTCGCTGACATTTAATTTACTCCGGTCCCCGCGAAGTTTGCGCGAACTCCTCGCGAATCATCGCCTGAAAGCTCACCCCGATCTCCTGCGGAACTCCGCAAAGTAATCAAAGCACAAATTAGAAAGAAAAATAAGACGGATCGCCGGTGGACTCGTGCCGGATGAAGCGGCCTTCTCCGAAATTAATCAAACGCCTTGTAACTCCTTGATTTATGTCTTGTCCGTTCCTCCCACATCCCTGCTTGTGTCGTGGCGACAGATTGTCGTTGCTTGTGCCGGGATTGACTGGCTAAAACTCCCCGCGTGACAGCCTCGCCTTAAGCTGTTTCCTCGGGCCTTCCGCAGCGACTCCTCAAATGGAACTGGTGATGGATCTAGAGTTGTGAGAAAACTCGTAAAACTGCAAT